TTGCACTAAGGGGTGATGTGACATAATTTTCATGAAAATGAAAGCTATATGATTTTGCCTTCGAAAAACGATTAGTGGGTCATATCTTAAACAGAATAATAGTGATTTGGTTTTTCAAACCCGCACCATTTTCTTAAAATGAGTAAGTTCCTCACTGGTCACGTGACCAAAATGTGATTTTTAAAATTATTAATTACTTCTTTCTGAACACAAGCTTTGCACTTAAACTTCAAGGAAGATGTTGAAAAAATGACGTGGTAACGTTTACAGCACATCTGAGCGTAACCACCAAACGTTTAACCAGATATAAGCCAAAAGTAGTTTTGGCCGCCATGTTGGAGGGCAAGAGTATGCCCTCCAACATGGCGGCCAATACAAATCATACTGCTTTGTTGAAAAATCAAAGTGCCATAAAATATCTCCCTTAAATGTGTTTCCTCTCAAATTTCGGGTGTAAGATAATTTTTATGTGCTCTCTCCATTTTTGGCATCAGCAAGATTCCAACTCATTGTTTAAAGGAAGCATTGGTCACGTGACCTCTTAGTGCAAGTGGCCTATTGGACCAATTGGACCATGGGTAACCGTGGTTTATTAGTGCCAATCCCTCTCGACAGCGAGACCCGTTTTCAAGATGGCGGCCGTTCGAGGCTTTAGAAACTTTTTGAAGTCAAATTTATTGCCTTTTCCAAGGACAAATCATCAGTTAGGAACCTCCAAATCAAGTGATGCACTACAAAGATGTTGCAGATCTGCCTCTACATTCTCATTTGTACCGGATTCACCTTCACCTCTCCATGGTTAGTTAACACGCATGGTTTCCAGATACAAATTACAAAACGTGCTCTCCTTTGCTTCCTACATAAGCGAAAGCTTAATAATTAATAGCCGTACAACTTATATAAAATCTTATCTTTCTTTTTTTGTTCCTGTTGCTAACAACATGCGGTCGTAAGCAACATGCAACAACAACAATATGCAACAAGTCTCAAACGTGACCAACATAAACTTTCTCGTGACAGCATCAATACGTATAAATACAGCTTGAAAAAATTCCATGATCGTTTAACAAATTTTCTCGACTAATTCTTAAAGTAAGTGCATGGATATCAGTCCGGAGAATTCGTATGTGGATATTGAGGCTTAATAATGAATAATAATTTCAAACCTCTCTTTTTTAGGAGAAACTCAAAAGATGAACTTGTTTCAGTCACTGACTAGTGCTATGGATCTTATTCTGGAGTCTGACTCATCTGCAGGTCATTTTCAATTTCTGTTTCACTTATTAACATATTGATTTCATTTTGCTTTGTGTTAATCAATGTGGTAAGAACCGATATTGGTCAATTAGCAACCGGCTGATGTATTGTTGATGAAGTTTGATGTCAGGCTGCTGTCCTAAAAATGGTAAATAAGACAGACACATTAAACATCTGGCAGTGTTTACATCTTCTGGTAAGCACATTATTCAGATGCACTTAACAAACAACTTTAATATCAAAGTTTTCTCTTACATGAAATGCATCAAATATCTAAAGGACTTTAAAATCTCTGGCATGATATTGCCATTGTTTGTTTATTGAAAGATATTAGATTCTGTTCACTGTTTTGTGTTAACAAAAATGGTATTTTCCCCTTCTAGTGATATTCGGAGAGGATGTTGCCTTTGGTGGAGTATTTAGATGTACTGTTGGACTAAAAGACAAGTATGGTTAGTATACATCAGGTGATAATGTGTAGTTCCAGAAAATATCCATACNACAAAACGTGCTCTCCTTTGCTTCCTACATAAGCGAAAGCTTAATAATTAATAGCCGTACAACTTATATAAAATCTTATCTTTCTTTTTTTGTTCCTGTTGCTAACAACATGCGGTCGTAAGCAACATGCAACAACAACAATATGCAACAAGTCTCAAACGTGACCAACATAAACTTTCTCGTGACAGCATCAATACGTATAAATACAGCTTGAAAAAATTCCATGATCGTTTAACAAATTTTCTCGACTAATTCTTAAAGTAAGTGCATGGATATCAGTCCGGAGAATTCGTATGTGGATATTGAGGCTTAATAATGAATAATAATTTCAAACCTCTCTTTTTTAGGAGAAACTCAAAAGATGAACTTGTTTCAGTCACTGACTAGTGCTATGGATCTTATTCTGGAGTCTGACTCATCTGCAGGTCATTTTCAATTTCTGTTTCACTTATTAACATATTGATTTCATTTTGCTTTGTGTTAATCAATGTGGTAAGAACCGATATTGGTCAATTAGCAACCGGCTGATGTATTGTTGATGAAGTTTGATGTCAGGCTGCTGTCCTAAAAATGGTAAATAAGACAGACACATTAAACATCTGGCAGTGTTTACATCTTCTGGTAAGCACATTATTCAGATGCACTTAACAAACAACTTTAATATCAAAGTTTTCTCTTACATGAAATGCATCAAATATCTAAAGGACTTTAAAATCTCTGGCATGATATTGCCATTGTTTGTTTATTGAAAGATATTAGATTCTGTTCACTGTTTTGTGTTAACAAAAATGGTATTTTCCCCTTCTAGTGATATTCGGAGAGGATGTTGCCTTTGGTGGAGTATTTAGATGTACTGTTGGACTAAAAGACAAGTATGGTTAGTATACATCAGGTGATAATGTGTAGTTCCAGAAAATATCCATACTCTCCCCCCAGAAGGGATTGGAAACTCCTGGGGGTGGGGGGTTCTCAAGGGTCCAAAAATTTAAGTAAATGTGTGAAGCTTGACTGGAATTTCCAGGAGGTGGTGGGGGTCTAAGGAAAAATCTCTTCTATGGGGGAGGTATGGATAATTTTTGGAACCACACAATATACATACATGTACACTCAATTGCTTTATTGTGGTCCACGGTCTTTAGATAATGGAATTTGAGAAGAATTTCCTTAGAAAACCTTTCTCTTTGATAGAGGAGCAGTGTTCAATCTAGAAATTAGTCAAAATCCAGGTCATACGTCCCACATAGTATTTTAAATTGGGTCATTTCAAAAATGGTCTGGGTAAAACGACATGTACGATATTGAAACTTTGAACAAATGACATCATCCAAACTATCACCAATAGATTCTTGAAGTTCTGGAGGTTGACTTATCGAACTGACTTCTCAAGCTTCACTGTCATTCTTATCCAGCCCATCTTCATGCTTTTCAGGTTCCATTTCCATTTTCTTTTGCATAAAAAGTGAACGTAGCTTTTGTTGTTGTTTCACAATGAAATGAAAACAAACCAACAACATCAACAAATGAAGCGTGAATTGATTGGCAAAGCAACAAAGTCGAAATGTATGCTCCAGTCTCTCCTGGAATTGTGTGGAATGCCTGACACAAAAACAACTTGTAAGCACGCATATTCTGTAAAGACAGTCATTTCGACGTGCACTCATTTAAGGCTAGTAAGCTCACATATTTTTGTAATTTACTTGTATTATTGCCTGCTGCTCTGGAAGTAATTATATATGAGGTAATCCTTTTTTTGCGTCAGTATGACTCCACGATAATCTCATTTTGCGTCAGAATAGAATATTCTGCATCAATGACGCAAGAACATGGCCTAGATTGAACACTTGAGGAGTAACATATTTACATTAACAATTTTGCTTGGAACACAACACTGAAAAGAATCAATGAAATAAGTAAGGCTATAAACTGTGCTGTGTAAAGGGTCCATAAGCAAGCCATAGTGAGGGCCTAATAATGGTGAGTTTACTCCAGTTAAACCTCTGAAAGCTTGCCAAGCTGTAGCTGCTGTTTGTATCATTGGGATGTCTGAAATGGCTTGGTTTAACTCCTTGAGTAAGTGCAAGACCCACTAATGTAGTATCAAAATCTCAACAGGATGTGACTATGGCCGCAATAATTAAGGTTGTTTTAACAGTGCTACTTTGTCATTCAACAGCATGTCGATTTGGGTGTCAGCCGATCTTAAGTTGGCCAAGTCAATTGAGAGTTGGCTGATAGTGTTGAATGATAGTCGGCCAAGGGGTACCTAAAGTACACAACAATAATTTATAAATAATTCTTTATTAAGCTCCCAATCACTAATAGCAGGGACCTAAGACAGGGTCTCACAAAACAAAAACTGTATAAGACTATTACAATACATCATACTTCTTTAATCACCCTTGTATGATATCTACTGTAGGTAAAGACAGAGTGTTTAATACACCACTCAGTGAACAAGGCATTGTTGGTTTTGGCATTGGGATGGCAGCAGCCGGCGCCACAGCGATAGCAGAGATTCAGTTTGCAGATTACATCTTCCCTGCCTTTGATCAAGTAAGAAAATTCACGTCAACTTTCTCTCAATATGTAACTTTATTATAATACAGTCAACTTTCTCTTAACAGGTACCTCTTTAAGATGGACTCCTCAGTAAAACAGACACCTAGAGTTGGTCCCTGCCTTTCTTTACTTTTTTTATTTGACTCTTTATAAGACAGATATCACTTAGTGTCAATCCCAAAGGTGTCCATCTTAGAGAGACGTAGTCGGCTTTGGTGTCGCGCTGACCTGGACTCTACTTCCCCAGTTTGAAAAGTTTTTACCTTAACCTAAAATCAAATGTACACGTTGGATACATCTAGAATCCGCTTTAATCTTGCCTAGTCTAAATTCATTCGATCCTCGATTTTTTTCTGAAAACCTCTTTCTGAGCAAACTTTTACTCATCCTGAAACATTATTTCATCATAATATTTGGTTAAACACAGTATCCAAAGGAACACACACAAGAGGAGGTGGGAAAGGTGTAGACACTGGGTGGGAGAAATCGCCTTTGTTTACCAAAATAACAAGAGAAATGAATCAATATAGTCTGGGAGCAAATGTGGTCCCGTGTGAAGTTCGTGCTGAAAGCAAGCACCTAGTGTAAAAGTGATCATTAGGACCTACTAAACATGAAAAGTTTTGGTGCCAGCTTTGCAACTTGCTCAGACGGCTTTTAAGGGGGGTTAAATTCTGACCCATGAAATCCAGCATGGAAACGAGGCTAAAACACATAATTCCTCATAACTTTGTTAATAATAGACGAAAATACACCAAACTTGCTCACATGATTGGACATGATCCTCCCTGTTGATTTATGCTAATTTACATAGGTCACGTGACCTTACGCATGAAAGCGAGGCTGAACACATAATTTTCCATAAATTTGTCAAAAAAAATCCTTATCATGCCAAACTTGCTCACCTTAGTCAGTTAGACATCTTGCATCGATTGGTACCACTTAGTAGTGTCACGTGACCCCATACATGGAAACGAGGCTGGATATATCTGGTAGCATCGTGTAGGATGGCATTTGTCTTGCCAAATGTATTAACAACTACTAGGCAGATACATATCTGGTTATCCGAGTTCAGATATAAAAACTTAAACTAATCATTGTCCTATGGCCCATAACACAGGGACAAGACGGATAAAGCAAATACTGCGGAGGCTCCATTTGAGAATCTATCTTGTACACATAATCAATAATTTTGCCAACTTATGATACTGGTTCCATGTATTCATTTTCGCATGTATATTGGAACAAGGGCAGAAAATGAAAATAGCGACTACTGCTATTTTATATATACAGTCATGAAAGTCTTACTGAATATCTATATACATTGTTCTGTTGTCCATTCCTATGGAATTTCCTGTTCGACTTCGTCTTCATCATACTCATCATCACTCTCAGCATACTCGTTCTGGCAATCTTCAGAGCACAGACAGAGATCAGTACAGACAAGTCCGGCTTTTTGACACTGACAACGGTTGTTAGAGCAACGGGACTTGGCGCACTTGCATCGGACAAGCTGTATAGTTGCCTCTGGAGCTGGTGGAAGATTTGTCATGACTGGTACCCACTTTCCATCTTCATCTTGCCATCCATAGCCTTCTGGTGAGGGCAACACCGGGTTTGCTACATGATCGTTGTTCCAAACAAGAAGCTGGTAGTGCGCTCTCAGTATGGCTTGATGGAGAGCAGCTTGTGTGGGCGGCAACCTCTCAGACTCAGCTTGATTTTTCTTAAAGAGGGACCATCTGAGGGCTTTGACAGTTTTGATGTCTGTCTTTGGTTGGTACATCCGACAAACCAGCTGTTCCACTCCACTTCTTGTGCCGTCATCTGGCTGTTAACCACAACCGAGGTTAGCAAGAGCTTGCAAGATAGGAGTGCTGGCGTTATCAAACTCATCCCAACAAGTGGCTTTTCCCTTTCCAGAGAAACTCCCAGTAACATCAGCTCCGGTCAACGCATGAAATGCTGGCAGCGCAGCCGTCTTAGTGGGCCCAAGGGCGTCTGCGATTGACTTCAAGTTGATAACTCTCAACTACTGCCGGTCCCAGTAACAAAGCAAGAGTTCGAGCACAAATCTGGATACCGTCGGAGAGCCAAAACAAGAACACCAGTGTCAGGAGAATATATAGAGAGTTGGGTAGCACCTTGAGCAGAGGCATCCAGAGCATGTAAAATAATCAACAGCAAAATATACGTGCCGTCCTTTCACGATATCCGGAGGGAGAAACATGCCACCTTCACTCTCTATGCGCTTCAGAACAGTTTTCTCAATTTGTGACTCCACCCTCAACAAGCGATTGTACTCTACAGCCATGCCAAATCCATGGAGGAGATTAACCAGCTCTTTGCTTCGTACTGCTTGGTGTATTGCTAGGTTAACTGCGAGGTGTTGGAGCATTTCTCTAGTGCAGTAGACCGCTTTTGATCTCTTATTGTCAACCTGCCTGTCCGTTAGACACAAAGCTATTGTATTCTGCGCTAATTGCATTGCTCTTTTGTGTACCTCATTGCACTTTTTATCAGATAGTGTCTTATTGGGACCTTGGATTATCCACCTAAAGAAGCAGGTAAGCTCTTCGGGGCAGTGATCATGTGTCATTGTATCCAGAGAGCCAGAGAAGACCCATTTCTCGCTTCGATTAATAGCCTTTCTCAATATTGAAAAGGCATCGAAGAGAGTTTTCATAGATTCATCACTGTCAGCTGTGGATTCTACGATATGGATAGCGGCATCTCTACACTGCTTTACGCTGACCCACTCGGGCTCATTAGCTCTAGTGGGCTTATGGAACTCAACTCCCTTTATCTCTTTCTGGATAAGCTCTTTAACTGAACGTCGACTTAGAGTCTTTGGACTATTGTTCTCGTTTGAAATGGAATCAAAAGCCTGTTCCAACTGTGCCATGTTGAGTATTTCTCCGCTATTGAGGGCAGCTTGGGTAAGGTTCAAAAACTCCAGCTTAGCCGCTGTCTCACTTCTTGACCTTTCCTCGTCATCTTTGATAGTTTTACGCAGGACCCCAGTCACATGCTACGCCCAGCAGCTTTTATGATATTTAATATCAATGGCATGAGCGTCAGTGCTGTCTAGAGCCGTCGAGAGCTTCACGAGCAGTTTAGGATCCTTTGATTGCTTTACTGCATTATCAAGAGAGCTACCAGCAGATGATGTTGACACCAAATGCAGAGGGTTCTGGTACTTCGCTTTCTCTTCACAAAAGAAGCACAGATTGCTGTCATAAGAGACAGTTTTCGACCTTGTAAGAATGTCAAGGATGTCATTAACTTTTCAGCAATTCCAAGATGAAAAACACAATAAAATAAAAAGTTAAAGTTATAAGCCATTACACCTAGCAATTACCTGAAGCGATTCACTTGTCTTTCTTCGAGCTTCATTTGGCCCTCTAACCTCTCTCTGAAACCTCTTTTTTACCCTCTTGATCTTTCCTGAGTGGGTGGTTTCTTGGTAGTACGACCTATGCCATGTTGCTTTTTCTTTAAGCTCTTCTAGTGGTAGATCTTTAAGCACAAGCCACAATGTTTTCGAGTTGATGTCCTCGTACTTTGAACGTTCTTCCATGGCTTCTAAAAGTTTTTGATGGGAAGTTGGATTTTCAACAAGATTGGCTGTATTTTTTTCTTGGCAGATTACACATAGCTTAAAATCTAAAGGGGCATTAGACTGGCCAAAATCCGTCATACTACAAGCACTGTGATGGCTGTAAGTACAACATGGCGGACACTCAATTAATTACCGCTGACCAATATTTCAGGCTCACAATCACCCAGGCCCCCTAGGTTAAGAATCCACAGGAATTTGTGCGAAATAGGATTGTAGAAATCGCCCATAATAAAGTTATATAAGGCACACGAAATACATTATCATTACACCTTTTTAGCTTTTATTTTTTTCATTCAAATGCTATACATACAGCATTAATATGCATTACAATGAGTCAACGTTATTGTCCTGGATGATGTGTTCACCTTTGGCGTGTTTTGCAATCCAGCCTCATTTCCATGTATGAGTCACGTGACACTACAAAGTGGCACCAATCGATGCAAGATGTCTAACTGGCTAAGGTGAGCAAGTTTGGCATAATAAGGTTTTTTTTGGACAAATTTATTGTAAATTATGTGTTTCAGCCTCGCTTTCGTGTGAAAGGTCATGTGACCTATGTAAATTAGCATAAATCAACAGGGATGATCATGCCCAATCATGTGAGCAAGTTTGGTGCATTTTCGTCTGTTATTGACTAAGTTATGAGCAATAATGTGTTTTAGCCTCGTTTTCACGCTGGATTTCATGGGTCAGAATTTAAGCCCCCCTTAAAAGCCGTCTGAGCAAGTGGCAAAGCTGGCACCAAAACTTTTCATGTTTAGTAGGACCTAATGAACACTTTTACACTAGGTGCTTGCTTTCAGCACAAACTTCACACGGGACCTTATTTTATGACATTTGCTCCCAGACTAATAACACCGCAGAGCAAATCATCGTTATATATATTTGGAAAATGATGGAGAAAGGTTACATGTATATATTTGGAAAAATCAAGCTGCCAGTGTCTCGACCTTGATCCTTCAACAATGATTAAGACTGTGTCATTTCTCACCTCTACTGATTCTTCAAGTTCATAAGTATTTGTCGATGTTTGGACAAGTCCGTCGGTGAATTCTTAATGGCCTATAAGAAAACGAGTGCCCTGATATGACTTAGATTCTCACGATTTTGACTGGCAATTTCAACACCACATGGTTTGTTTAGATATTCCAGCATGTGGTTCTCACTTTTTGTTTCATGTGCATGTCTAGTGATATATGCAAGTCAGCTAAGAATTATTGGTATGTGATGTGCGTGTCTATCACCTGACTGTATCCCTTTAACCAATGAAAATGCCAGGGGAACTTTCATTGTGGTGTTTATGCAATAAATAGAACATGACATGGCCACTAAAGTACAGTATAAATAAAATTTTTCTTCTCGTGTTGAAAATACTTTGAACACTTGTTCGCAAATATTTTTTTGACATGAGAAGAGAAATTTCATATCTCCATGTGGCCTAATATCTTCTCTTTAATATGTACTTTGATAACTTGATGCTCATCTTGTTGTAGCTTGTAAATGAAGCTGCGAAATTTAGATACCGTTCAGGAAATCTTTTTAACTGTGGAAGCCTTACAGTGCGAGCTCCATGTGGAGCTGTGGGGCATGGTGCACATTATCATTCTCAGTCAGTGGAGAGCTACTTTGCTCATGTACCAGGACTAAAGGTACAGTAATTACTTGTTATCTTTGGTTAGCAAGCAAGTATATAACATCACTACTAAAGCACCCCAAGTCCTTTGGAATGGATTTGGTTATCCGTGGCCAAAAGTCATTGTGACTTGTTTTGGGTGATGTTTTAGATGTAACTTCAAGTAGTTTTGCCATTAATGGGTTCATTTCTTTAGCAGACCTCAGTCACATGCATCATGTCAGGTAGTTTATCATGAAGTCAGTCAATTTACTTTCACAGAAAATGGTTTCTACATTATAGATCATCATCATCATCTTTACTCTGTAAAGCAGGTCAGAAAGCAGGTTATATTCATATAAGGCAACTTGAAAGCTGTAGATCTGTATGGTAATACACACATAGACACATCATGTTTAATCAACCAACAGAATCAATTTTCAAAGAATGAATTTATTAGTCTGTTAATAATGAGAATGTTTGGCTGGCTTTGACTGTACAACATGAATGTCTGTTTCTGCAGTTAAGTGATCATGTATTTACTTGAAAGTTAATGAACTACAGTAATGAATGATGATCCTCCCTGAACACAGCCTTGCCAGTGGCATTATTGTTTATTATACTACTACATGAGAAATTTCTGCAATTTGATTGGCTTAGAGCAGTGGTATTTCAGCGTAATTATAAATACGTACATGTGAAAATAATATTAGTGTTTCCATGGTAACCAAAATCATGAAATAAGGTCGTCAGGCAAGTTCAAAAACATTGGCGGAAAGATTTCCAGATTTTCAAGTTGAAGAAATTCAAGAACTCAACTTGGGAAATTCAGAAAACCAAAATACTAAGAAAAGTAAATCAACCTACCAGCTGGGTAGGAAGCGAGAATTTTGAAACAAATTTGCTTGATTATGTAACTAAACAAAAGTTCTTACTCGAGATCCATAAGAAAGATGGTTCATAGTATGAGCCTGAAAGTTTCAGAGTTATGCTGGCGTCATTGGACAGACACCTGAGAGAAGAGGATGCTGCCTTCTCAATAGCCAAGGATTTTGAGTTTTCCAACCGTAGAATAGTACTTGAAGGAAAAGCAAGGCTTCCTTGTCAACAAGGTTTCGGTAAAAGGCCTAATGCTGCAAAAGCGATGAACTGATGTGGTCCAAAGGAGTGCTTTCAGGCCATTCTCCTCGGTCACTGATACAGACCATGTGGTTCTTGCTCCCCCAGCACTTTGGTTTGAGGGGCTGTCTGGAGCACCACAACATGTACGTTGAAGATTTTGCCATCAGCACCAACGACAACGGTATTGAATTGGTGACTTATGAGGAAACCCCACAAAAACTCGCCAAGGTGGACTTTGCATGAAACAAAGAGTTTTTCAACCCAAGATGTTTACTACTGGTGGACAGAGGTGCTTTGTTAAACTTTTCTAAACATTTCTGGAAAGAAGACCTGACGAAATGCGAAACAGTGGTTCGTTACCTTGCTGTGAATGAATGACGTAAGACCCAAGTGTGGTGTAAGTGACAAAAAATGGGCTTCAACAGCATTAATTCCTTCCTGAAGAATATGGCAAGTCAGGCAGACATACAAGGCAAAAAGCTTACAAACCACAACGCTCACAAAACCTTGGTGAAGAAGCTGAAAGCTGCAAACCAAGTGCAGTGAGCGATTATCTGTGTGTGCCAATGAGAGGTCCCTTGAAGATTATGAAGAAGGTGATGAGAATGAACAGTGAGACATTTCTTCCATCATCAGTGCAGAGTGTGCAATGGCACAATCCAGCAGAGTTCATCAACGGCTTGCAAAGATTAGATGCTGTAAACACAGCTGTGGTGATCATTTTCCTCTTCAATGATAAAAGGTCGGCGACCGTTGACCATTTCCCTGGCTGTCAACTTTCTTTCTAGCTGCCGTAGATGTTTGAATCTACATGTAATTTTAAACGACTTTCACTGAAGCAAACGTTTAAAGACTCACAAGCTTTGATTCTTTCTTCATATGTTTTGGAAATCTATGTCGCTAAGAATTTGATTTTGGATCACGTGATTTTCAGATCACATGTCGTATAAAGCCAATTAAATATGCGTGATGAAATAAAGGGATGACGTTACAAAAAATTTCTCATGTACACATGTAGAAGTATGGAGTGATATGTGCATGATATTTGTCATAAATACTACTCATGATATTTCAAAGCTGTCTCAAGTTTCACTCACCTAATGGCTCGTGAAAATACTATAACAATTTTTGAAATATCACTGGTGGAATGGTATCATCACTAATCATGCTATTACCTATACTAATTTACCAGTAAGTAGTATATTTGGCATATAATTTTGCTGTTTTTACTTTTTTCATTTAGGTAGTTATTCCCAGAGGACCTATTCAAGCCAAAGGACTTTTTATTTCTTCTGTAAGAGACAAAAACCCAGTCATCTTCCTTGAACCCAAGATCCTTTACAGACAAGCAGTGGAAGAGGTCCCCGTTGCAGACTACGAGATACCACTCTCAGAGGCTGAAATACTTGAGGAAGGTGAGTCTAGGATTTGATTCAGTTGGTTGCAATACTCTAAGTACTAAGAAAGAACTGGCCTTGGGGCATTAGAACAGGCTTTAGAAAACCTAAACACATGAAAATGCACATCAATAGCGTTTCTATCAATAATATTATTTTGTCAAACAATCCTGAAAATTATGAACTTGTACATTTTTTTGTTGTTTTAGTGCCAGCTTCGATGTGATACCTCGTAATTTATGTTTTATGAGGATGTGAACACAAGAAAATGATTTAATATTACTCTGTCTGTACTTAGATACAGTCTTTTAATTGCCAGCATTATTGACAAATTGAACAAGATGGAATAAGAGAGAAGTTTGAAGCAGTGCCAATTCACATTTTGAGTGATGCTTTCCCTACCATCACCATCGTAGATGCTAAAGCTCCCTAATTTTTATCTGTTTCGTCATAACAAATTAGTCTTTTTTTGACAAATCTGATTTCAGGTTCTGATGTGACAGTTGTTGGATGGGGAACTCAGGTGCATGTTTTGCGTGATGTCTGTAAGATGGCAAAAGATGAGCTTGGTATCAGTTGTGAGCTGATAGATCTTCAAACAATTCTCCCTTGGGATGAAGAGACTGTCATTAAGGTATTATTACATCGCTGGAATTTTTTGCCTAACCGCGCACACTTTCATTCAGTTACTTCAAGGTCCTGTGGCAGCTAACATTAAAATTATTGTTTCCCACCAAAAGTTTCTAAGTGGGTGGAATTGCAACTTCTATGGTGCTGTTACTTGCAAATGTTAACTGCTCACTGAGATTAATAGACTATCACTTGAAGTTATGAATATATGAAAATCACTGTGGGGATGAAGAATAATTATATTCCATGACGAAAGCCTAAAAAATTTAGGCTTAAACAGGATTCGAACCCTTCGAGGTCGAGGGTTCGAATACAAGCCTGAATTTTTTCAGGCTTTCTTTTTGCAAATGCAAAAGTTACATCTATAACTGCGATGATCTTCTTTCATAATATAAGACTATTACTTGTTATAACAGTTCCACATTGTTAGCCATACTTTGGGAGACTTTGAGATTGTCTGGAAACAAAATTACTGAGGAATGCTGTAACTGGAGCCACCAAGACAAAGCTGGCCTATCAGATAACAGGAAAATAACAATACATTCCAAGAAAGTTGGTTGTGGGCTAAACAGCCACTCGTAGGAAAACAAGAAGTTAATTAAAGCCAAAAATTTCAAAATCAATAGCAAACATTTTCAAGTAACAAAATTTATCGTTAGATAATATTCTTCTTTCCAAAACCTTAGACATACAGTTGTTTCATTTACCTGTAATTTGTCCTATTTCTCTGCTAACATTCGTCATTGTCACGCTCTCCAACAGCATGCCACCTCAAGTGAAAAATGCATCCATTGTTGACATTTTTTGCCTCCATCATTAACTATAACAGACCTCTTAGGAAGCACTGTAGGTTGCAATAGACCTATTCGGCTAACTAAATGTTATACCCAATTCAAACCCTTTGGGGATAAAATGTTTTGTTTCAGGAATTTCCATATCATTTAAATGTGAATGCAACATTATAATGCAAATACAGTACACAAAGAATCTTAACCCCAGGAGATTTGAATTGGGTACAACATTGAGTTAGCTGAATAGGTCTATTGGTTGATTTTGTTGCCCAACAATCTCAAGGTGTCCAAAGGCATGTAGCTGAGGAAAACAAAATTAACAAATTTCCCAAGGAACCAGTCATTAAGACTGATTTGTTATATACTTAGCCAACAAAGGAAAACTGGTTGATTTATGCAAAACTACTCTTGTTTTTGAAAGGGTGTCTCTTTTTAATGAAAGAACATTATACTCAATTCCAAACAACACTGGGTACGTAAAGACAGTTCCCATGGGAAACAGTTACAGTGTGACTACTTTAACCAGGGCTTACCTAGACAAAGTTGATCAGTCAGCCTACACAAAAGTCTCTACAAAACAAAATAAGGGAAAGACCGTTAGAAAAGTTATAGGGAGGGTGGGAATTTCCGAGCCGCATGAAAAAACAGTTCCCTTGTATGAATTTTTTAGGCCTTTGCTTGAATATTTTTTGGGGTTATTTGGCATACATAATTTTTTTTTCATTTAATTTTCCCTTGCACAAACAATTTTTTTTTGTACTTCAGCCGCCCCCCAATAAGTTTCCTAATGGTTTGTCCCTGAGCAACATGGATCAAAATTAGCTGTTTTCCAAGGGAACTATCAATAATTGCCCATTGTTGTTTGGAACTATTAGTATACATGTTCTTTCATTGCACGTTGGGTAAATAGGAGATAAAAGAGACGTCCTGTCAAAAACAAGAGAGGTATCTGCATGCAAAGAAAGTTGATCCGATAGGCTGGGGCTAGTGGAATTTGCCAATGGGCTTGTGAATTCTGTTCTTCACTTGCCCACCAGGCCAGTGAACAATTTTGGGGAATTCAAATAAATACTTTAAATAAGACAAATTTCAAATTCCTTGTACATGCACGTGCACTGATTTAGCCATTTTTCAAACTCATCTGACAAAGTGATATCTGTAAAAACAAGTATCAAAACTAGTATGGCACTACAGTAAAAACCCACGAGTAAGAACCTACATTTTCTGGAGTTAGCCTAAACAGGTTCTTATTTAAATAGTAGTTAACACAATTTGAGGCTATTTAGGTTCTAAAATAGGTTCTTATTTCTGTAAAAAAATAACGAAAAAAACAAGCTATAAAACGAGATGGTAATCTGTGTGTTTTTCAATTTCAAAATGCGATACAACAATCTTAACATCTTGCACTTTATTTTTTTTATTACCTCAATAAATTAGCACTTTTATTTGCATGCACAGCAATACCAAGCTCCTAATTCTCCAAACAGGGTTCTTGCACAGCTTTGCAGCTGCATTTCACTAATATGACTTTAAAAAATACGAACCCTTTTTTTCATTTTCTAGGCTAAACAGGTTCTTGTTTATAGGGGGTTATAAATGGGAAATCTTAGGCTAACAGGTTCTTAATTTTCAGGTTCTTACCCGCGGGTTTTTACTGTATTTTATGTCAGACTAGACGTTGTGTGATCCACACAATCTTTGGCTAAAAACAACAGTTGTTTTTATTATTAATAAAATAATATTATCAATTAATTAGAATTAATTAATTTATTATTATTATTGATTATTAAAAATTAATTATAATTAATTAAAAATACCTTAAAAGTAAGGCACCTTAGGCTCCTAAAGCTTTTGTTAGATCTTAGCTGACTACACAGTTTAATAAGTCAAGTAATTGATTACCTGATGGTGTATTTAATAAATAAATAGTGATTAATTATTTAATTATCAATCCTGCACGTCAGAAACTTTTTTGTACTAGTTGAAGTGACTTTCGGGCTAAGGCAAGCTGCAAAAGTGATTTTCTTTGCAACCTGGGTATTACATAAGTCAATGTTGGTATCATTGCTTTCATAAATAAGATGTGTTCCATTGACAAAATGTTTTTGTGTTTTAGTCTGTTCTAAAAACAGGAAAGCTTCTAATAGCACACGAGGCTCCTTTAACTGGTGGATTTGCTGCAGAAATAAGCAGTACTGTACAGGTAATCACTAGTGATATCATGTAGTTTTTTTTTAACCGCATGATTTAACACGATGAACGTTTTAGCGATTCCAACTTGAATTTATTTACACCCGAAATGCTTGAAAACCAATATGTATGTACTCCTAGTGATGTCGTCAGTTTAAATGTTCAAACAGGACTCTGATGTACAGTCTTGTGCAAGAGAAAGAAATCTTCCCGAGCATAGCTAAATGTGAGCTACTTAGTTAAAAACGCCTGAGATAACTGCAACAGACAACCGGAATCATTCCAAAATGAAATATTCCAAGTAGCTCCGTTTTAGGACGGCTAAAAAAGGTTTTCGTATCTCTTGGGGCAACCACCCCGAAGCTCGTCAACTGAAGCACTGAAGAGTCTAGATCTGAAGTCACTGTCCACAAGAAGGTTTTTTCATCACTGCATTGCAATCCACAAGTGTCTTATTGGAGAAACCGATTTCAACTTTAATTTTACTAAAACTCAAGCTGTTCATTCATATAATACAAGAAGATCTAATGATATTCGCTTACCCCTACCCAGATCAAACTGGGGTAAACAAACTTTTATTTTTCATGTCGCGAAAGACTGGAACAGCCTTCCAAATGATTTAAAAGAGTGTAATATTTTATCTATTTTTAAATCCAAGTTAAAAACTTTTTTAAAAGATCTCAGCTAACTTTGAATTAATTTTTGTATAATCAGTTTTAAGATTTTAAATTTTTAAATTTGTTTTACTTGTAAACATATTTTACTTTTTTCGTAATAATTAATTAATTAGTTAGATTAATGCATGAGGGCCCCACTGGAAACCGCCTTGGCGAGTTGGGCTCCCTCTGTAAATGTTGTTATTATTATTATTATTATTATTATTATTATTATTATTATTATTATTATTATTATTATTATTATTACTAGACTTTTGTTTTCTGGAGAGAGTGCTAATTTTTCAATGGAGTTTTTGATCTAAATGTGTGAGTAGTTGAGTATTCCTTTGTCTGTTGGTAGACAGTTTACCCATAGTCAGCCAACTGATTTTTGGGTGAGCTGTTCTTTTATTTTCACGGCTTAATTACTGTTTAGACTTGACACTCACTTAGCGGAGACGTTCCCTTTTCCATCCTTACGACAGCTGTTTTCTCCATGACTAACACGTTTTAATTCTTTATTTGTCGCAGGAACATTGTTTCCTAAATCTTGAAGCTCCCATTCAACGTGTGTGTGGATGGGACACACCCTTCCCTCATATCTTTGAACCATTTTATCTGCCGGACAAGTGGAGATGTTTTGAAGCTCTGAAGAAAGTTACCAGCTTTTGAAATGTATAATGAGAGTGACTCGATATGAAAGAATGCAAAACGAGCAGAACTTGAAATTTCCTAGTTGTTCTAAACAGTCACTGTTCTTGCGGATTGAATGCAGAAGATACTTCTCCCAGACAGAAAGAAACCTTCCAGGAAATTGTAGCATATGAAGATATGTTTGTATGGAAACATTATCTTCGTGTTCCTAAAGAAAAATGATGTGCAAAATAAGTCCAGGGACTTGTTGTATAAATCTGATGATCCGACGTTACATCTGACGTTGAAGTTTGGTGCAGTCAAACTCTCTATTTTGATGCTTAACGCCCCTGCTTACGGTACGCAGTCACCTCGCCACCAACAAATAAATATATGTTGCTGTTAATTTTTTTTATCTCAGGTAGTTTTTAATTTTCTTTTGTTTCAACTTCATTAGCGTACATTACCTTACCCAAAATTAAAGAAAAACAAAAATTACCTGAGGTAAAAAATTAACTTCAACATATATTTTGACACCTATCTTTCTCTAAAAGAAAATTCCTTCACTTTGAATTTACATTGGAATTGAAGGAGTTAAGGTTCAACTGACAATATATAAGCCTACTTTGAAAAGAAAGGCTGTTAAATTTTAAACAGACGATACAGACTTCTTGGTGGCGAGATGACCGTAAGCCGTGGTTACGTCTTCATCAGGGGCACCCAACGAGAGTATAGTTCAAAACCACTTGAACATAACATTGTTGAACGTATTTTAGTATTTAAACGGTAGATATAGTCATATTTTTATCCCCGAAAAATTTTTCATCTGTTCGGATTTCCTAGCTGAAAGTCTAGTGATCCGAAAATGATAGGGATCAAGAGCTACCTTTTCGAAAATTTCAGCTAGAAAAAAGGCTCCCGAAAATTCTAGGTGACCTTTTTAGGGTAAAAATCCGTTAAAAATGGGCAATTATACCATTTTTAGATGTTCGAAAATCCTAGGAGAGGCAGGCAAGCAAGAAATTTTACGACAAATGCTCCGAAAATTCTAGATCTCAAATCGTTTTCCGAACAGATATTTTCCAAAAATTGACGTTGGGTGCCCCTGCTTGATACGTCTGATGGTTTGCACTTGCTAAGGATGCCAAGAGTTTGATAAGCACAATGTTATAAATTAAAAGAATGTCAATCGGCAGGTATTCGTGAAACAAAATCGATGATTTAGGATGAATAATTTTGCCTTTCAGGTTTTGTGGCGTAGATTACAGGTGTAAATTGTTAGAGTAGCAGTTTGTTTAGACTGTATATTCGCGCCGTATATTTATTGTAATAACAACTGAATATCTATTCTTAGCTATAAACTCGCTGGTTGAATTTTTTTCTAACTCACATAATACAAAATGAGTGTTATAGAATTCGTTTCTCTATATTAAGAATATGTTAAAACTACCGATGCGATACAATTCCAAGGGGACAGACAGCAAATTGTTGTTGCTCGCAATATCTATTATGTCGTAGCCTGTTCCAGGCTCCGAAATTGTCGGGTCCGCCGAATTGAGAAAGTGCGAACACGAAAATAAAACGGGAGGAAACTTGGGAGAGCGCGGGCGGCGGAGCCTGTAATCATTTTTTTAAACGACCCGTTCCGGTATACCAGCTCCTGGTATACCCTCTGATCGGTCAGATTTGACACATTATTGTGCGGCGTCCACGCGCGTGAAATAGAGAAATCTACGATGACTTCTGTGTTGAATGAATGTTTACGAGATTTCCCCACACGTAGGAGCGCTGAGGAAGGAACAGATGACCTGCCTTGTGAACTTGGCGCGTGGAAAAAAAAGTTTTTGCAATTCTGCCGACCGGCTTCGGTCTTGCCTGATAAAAGAGTGGCAATAACTGAACAGTCGCAAGCAGGAGTTACCTACGCGCTCCGCAAGTCCAGACTCACATTATCCTTAGATCTCTTTAGAAGGACAAGCTGGAGTTTAAAAATAATTTTTTAATGAGCAGTCTTGACTGACCCACAACGTAGTTCTCCATATTTAAAGTAGCTTCAATTAAAGCTGTAATCCATTCTTCGTAATTTGGATCTATGAATCACTATCCGTGACAATTTAACATCCTGCAAAAACGTTAACGAGCTTGGCCCAGCATGAAATAGCCTGCGTGGCAGGCGCGAAAATCAATCCCCCTCCGTTTCTCCCTTCCTCCCTATCTCCTACCCCTTTCAACGCCTGCTGCGCAGGCTAAGCATGACGAAACTCATTGCAAGAAACCATCACATTCACGCGTAAAAGACTGAGTTGCCTACCGATCCGCTTTTTACACTCCAAATTGCTCACGCTCGCATAAGAGATTAGCGCCGCGCGAAATAATCTCGCGAGATATTTGAGAAAGATTCCAACTCATTGACATTTCAAAAGTTTGACAGCCGAAATCTAATTATCTCAAACGTGCCAAAATTGGGCGGAAGAAGGTCGTAAAAGAAATGATTACAGGCTCGCTCTCTCTCTCTCTCTCTCTCTCTCTCTTTAGATTCATCTGTCCGTATCTGCTACGTTTTCTCCTTTTGAAAATTTTAAAACGTTTTATATATCAAACCTCACTTCTTTTGGGCAAGCCAATAAGCTAAGCTTTTACATACCCAAAATACGTTCTCCCTTTTCTAATTTATTTTACTTTTCCAGAATATTTTCTAGTTCGAACCAACTTAACGTAGCAAATACGCATTTCTTGGTACATCAACCAAAAATTTTGTAAAATTTGCCAAACAAAACGGATTTGTAAGGTCCTTAGGGTAATAAAAATTACTATTAAACCCCTCCGTGTTTGGAAATATTTTCAATTTTGCTTTAACTTAAATTAAGGACTAAACGTTGTTCTCAGGTACATGTTCGGCACCAGTTTCAGACTCAAGATTTTTTTTAGTCAACCCAAAACGTATTTGCTGTAAAAATAATAACCCTTTGTGATACCTTCTCCAATTTTTATGTGGAAAGTAAGCGCTTCACAAAAGAAACTCTTCCGAAACAATTTTTGAGGTGTCAAAGCACTTTGGATGCATTTTTTATCCAAAAACCTATTCCGTAGCAAATACTCGTTTTTGCAGCAAATACGCACTTTGGTTTTCGCTCAGAAAAGAAACATGTAATTTATTTCGAAGTTAAGCCGTGATAAAAGAAGATCAACAATGCATAATGATGCCTACCAACCAGGGCACAGCCAGCCAAAGGTAGCCATTAATATTACCCGCTGTAGAAGCTTATTTTACACAAAACTGTGTAAAATGCGGATCATCAGGTAGCAAATACTTATTTTTGCAGCAAATACGCACTTTAGTTTTCGATATCTTATTTATTTAAAAGTTATGTCTTGGAGAAAGAAGAAAACCAATGAAAGATGATGTTCACTTTACAAATAACAACTATCCAAGGGAAGACATGGATATAACCTGGTATATATCCTTATTTATCACAAATTTGGAAATATCACGAGATGCAGTTTGCGGAAATTGCGCACTTTTAGCCGGCGTTATAAAACACCGGTTAAAAGGTTTGAAGATTGCATATTATAAAGGCTTTTAAGTTTTCTGCCATGCAGATAGGAAATGACAATTTCGCTTTGAATGCCTTGATAAATCGTGTATAATTTTGTCTATTAAATTCCTGCCTCGTTAGTACAGAGCAGTCTCGCGCGCGCTTACGCGCTTCACCCATACTCTAGCTAATGATGCCACACATGATGCTAATGAACCTTCCTTTCATAAATTCTTACGATTTTCTACTAAAGGACTTGTAAGGCTCAGTTCTGCCGAAATATTAGGCACACTGACAAAAATGATGCGCGCGTATCTTAAAAGTTTAGTGCATGAAAAAGGTGCACCTGCAAAACAGGTTGTAGCTGGGGGACGCTTGTCAGAGGAAAAATGTTATAGCTTTTACGACAGACTGCAAGGATGATGTATTATCTTAAAGGAAACAGCCACATGTCGCAAGAAAGGCGATTAACTTTCGCAGGACGGCGCGCCGGCGCATATGTCAAAAGCGGCTCAAACATGTTGCTAGGAGAATGTTCCAATACAGAGCTACGCAGGGCTATATAGGGCTCTGTAGAAATCTGTAGGGTATTATACGGCTATGTAAGACCTATGTAGGATTTGAAAAGCGCTGCATAGCCATGCTTCGCCGTACATAGCCATGCATGGCCGTACATAGCCATACATAAACGAACATAGCCGTCCATAGCCCTACATAGCCGTGCATAGCCATGCATAGTCGTACATAGCCCTACATAGTCCTACATAACCGTACATAGCAGTACATAACCCTACATAGCCCTACATAGCCGTGCATACCCATACATAGCCGTACGTAGCCTTCCACAACCTTACATAGCCCTACATAGCCGTACATTGCCATAAATAGCCGTACGTAACCCTACATAGCCGTGCATTGCCGTACATACCCGTGCATAGCCGTAAATGGCCGTATTTAGCCATGTATAGCCGTACATAGCAGTACATAGCCCTGCAATGCCGTGCATAGCCGTCCTTAGCAGCACATAGCTGTGCATAGCCGTATATAGCCCGTAAATAGCCGTTTATATGCACGGCTAAGATGGGTTATGTACGGCTATGTACGGCCATGCACCGCTATGTAGGGCTATGCACATAGCCATGTACGGGTATGCAAGGCCATGCACGGCTATGTATAGCTATGTACGGCGATGAAGGGTTATGAACGGCTATGCACGTCTATGTCATGAAGTCTATGTACGGTTATGCACGGCTATGTACGGCTATGCACGGCCATGCACGACTATGAAAGGCCCGTATGCAGAGCTATGCACGGCTATGCAGGGGTATGCACGGCTATGTAGGGTTATGTACGGCTATGTGTGGCTATGTAGGTTGCCCTTTTTCATTGCTACTTGCGTGTCCAATTCTTTGATCATCCCCCTACTGCGTTTTTTAAGTCACTATAGCGCGACCTGCTTGCCTCTCCTTTGCATTTCGTCTGCGCAGATGTCGATAACCCGCG